ACGTCATCAAGATGCGCCTGTAGTTCTGTTTTGCTTCCTCGTCGCGCGTGGCACAAACCAACGTGGTTTGAGCTTTCTGCTAGAAGTTTCTGCTTTTAGAAAACATATTTAAGATTTAAGTACGGGAAAAAACAGATTTTTCCGAACACGTTATTCAGCGTTATAATATGTTTAACGAGCAAAGTGTCTCGTTGTCTTGCTTCCGACACGTTACGAAGGATCTGAATTAGCAGAGGAAGAGAGAAGAACGGAGAGGGTGGGCTAAATATCTGGAAGTTTAATTTCTTATAGGGTCCAAACATGTTTGACGAGGAGAAGAACTGGAATGATGATCAAGACGCACAAATTCTAAATAAAACTGCGTTTGAAAACACGCTGAATGAGAGCAGCAGCACAAACGTAAAGGTACGCAACTTTTTATTATTGTTTGTTAGCAAAAGCGGTAACAGATCCACTTAGCTTTTCAAATATCCATTTAAAAATACAATATGTTTAGTGAGACGCTTTCTGGAGTTTGGGTTTGTTGCTCAGCCCATTTATAACTCCTCAGCTAGTAAAAGGTCTATTATGTTTTTTATGTGTTTGTTTTGTTTAGTTTTCTTTTGTTTGTTTTCCCCCATTTTTAGTCCAGAGTTGTTGGGAAAAAGAGCCTGCTGCGGACCTTGCAGACACTGGGATCAATACCAGAGTGGAAGAGTGACAAGGCACAGAACAGTGACAGTGAGGCAGAAGCTGCTCCATCTCCTGGTAAGAAGAAGAAGAAAAGAAAAAGGAGAAAACAAGTGGAGAAATCAGAGGAGCAACGAGGAGGAGGTGGTGTTCAGACTGTGAAGAAGGAGAAACATGTTTCCAAAAAGAAGGAAGGAAGCAAACCTGGTTAGTAATCACACGTATAGTTTTGTACATCACCATCATGATAAAGATAAACAGTTATTTTAGATTTATCCAGTGTTTGGGTGTCTGCACACTTCCCTCTTTCTGGCTGTTAAAGGAAAAACAAAAGATCTGTTTCTTTTTTTCAGGAACCCTGAAGACAAACAGCACGTCTGCAGACAAAACAAAGGAGAAAAAAATCACAGAAATTCCACAAGTGGATGTAAACAAAGCACAAAACGAACAGAGACTGAGCAGACAACAGTGGAAAACCAAGATGAGGAACAAGAGAAGATGCAAAAATAAATACCGCCAGGATAACCCAGAGGAAAACGTAAACAAACCACCAACTGTTGATGGACAGGAACTGAAAGAAGAAATCCAAACAGATTCACGTGGCAACAATAGTAACTTTGAAAACATCGGTCCCGCAGAAAAACAAAAAAAGAAAGACGAGCAGAAAGCACTGAAAAGGAAAAATACAGATGAGACAGACTTATTTACTCCAACATCAAAGAAAAAGCAACAAGAAGCAGAGAAAAAGACAAAAGGTGCAAACATTAAAACAAGTGTGTCTGGACATTCAGCTGATGGTTCGGAGCAGAATTCAGATGGACTTCAAGTAAAGACCACGAGGACTCAGCAGCAGTTCATCACAAAAGCACAGAAACCTGTGCTGAGCAAAGAGCGGATTTTAAAACGACAGAAGCTGCAGAAAATCCTCCTCAGCCGGGAGAAGGAGGAGGAAAACATCCAAGCGGTGGAGCCAGAGGACGAGGAGAAGCAGGTGAGCCAAAGCAGCTCAGACACTCTCAGGTCTCGCATGGAGCAGCAGCTGGAGGCGGCTCGGTTCCGCTTCATCAACGAGCTGCTGTACACGACAACCAGCGGAGAGGCGAAGCGCATGTTTCGACAGGACCCACAGGCCTTCTGGGTTTACCACAAAGGGTACACGGCGCAGGTTCAGAAGTGGCCCTCCAATCCGGTGGACGCCATCATCTCTTACATTCAGAACAGGTGAGACAACCTGCAGGTTCACTGTGCTGTTTTTATTATTAAACCTCTCAATCGTCTCGGGTGGATTTCTCTGCCTTCTTTAAAAATCAAACAAAAATTCATCCTTATAAACAAGAGAATCAAAACAAAAAAAATGTGCTCTTCTTTTAGTATCTCCTGCACAAGTCTGATCTGTGCCTTGCTGAATTTCTACATTTTGTACTTCAGGTTTTTATTTTGTTATTTTGTTACATCACTAACATACGCATTTTCTAGCAGCTTTGCCAAACTTAAAATAAAACGGCACTTTCTTTTATTAATCCTCCTCTAAAATACCACAAAGCAAACCAAGCGTTCTAATAAAAGCTGCAAGAAGGAACGCAGCAGTCCTCTCATATGTTGTGCATCTAATGTGGCAAATACTGCTTTTACTAGTTTGTTCACAGACTAGAACTATATCAACATGCTGAAGGACACATGAGACTTTAAAACCTATAAAATAATGTTTTATTACGAGTCTCCTGAATGCTGATTTTATTCCACAGTAAGGTATCTTGATCTGGTTGCTTCTCTGTTGAATTACGTGCATCGTGAAATAGTTTCATTCTTTTGTCATTAATGTAAATTGTGATGCTCAGTTTCATCTGCACAGGAAAATGCATGTAAAAGCTTTGTTGTATTTTATTACTGAAAAGTGTGGATTTGTTTAATTCAGCCTGGATCAGATTAGATCTGTTCAATAATTACTACAGAGTAATAAAATGCTTCAGCTCAGGCCTTTTTCCAGGACATATCTGCAGTAAAGAATAAACCCAGTGTTTCATTGTCCTGAAGACTTTCCCAGCAGCAGGAGGCATGGAGGCAGCTTTGTGGGTGTTACTTTAATCAATGCTTTATTTTGCTGCTGCAGGGAAAGAAACTTGCTAACGTCAGCAGTTTGTGCCGAGAGGGAAAAACTTTTCCCGTGGAGTTAAAATCCTCTCTGGTTTTAGCTGATTGCTGTAAAAAAAAAAATTGTCTGTTTGGTGTGTTGCAGACCTACTTCTCGGGTGGTGGCAGACTTTGGTTGTGGTGATTGTAAGATAGCCCGCAGCGTGAAGAACAGAGTGCACAGCTTCGACCTGGCTGCGACCTGCGAGCTCGCCACAGTCTGCGACATGGCCAACGTGAGTGCCTTCCCGTACCGTGACCTCGTGTTTCTGTTTTGTTTTGCTGTATTTGTTTAAAGAAAAACGCTCTTGTCTGTGCAGGTGCCCCTTGATGACGACTCCGTGGACATCGCCGTGTTTTGTCTTTCTCTCATGGGGACCAACTTGGCAGATTTCTTAGCGGAGGCCAATCGAGTTTTAAAGATGGGGTAAGAGATGTCAGTTTATTAAATGGGATCAGGGGTGCCCAGTCCTGGTCCTCGAGGGCCTGATTTGAATGAACGGGTGATGTGCAGAACTTGAAGAGGAAATTCAGCTTCTGAATACGGTGTGTAGATTGAAGGAAACAAGTAAAAACATGCAGGTTGCGGCCCTCGACCAGGATTGGACACCCCTGGCATAGATCAATGTCTAGTTATACATACACAGCGGGTAAAATAAGTATTGAACACGTCAACATTTTTCTCAGTAAATATATTACTAGAGGTGCTAATGACATGAAATTTTCA